AGGGGCTTGAAAAGGTCTTCACAAAACAGAAGTACATCAGCAAACCCGACCGCAAAAAGTTGGCCGAGAAGTTGGGCCTCAAAGATTCGCAGGCCAGTTCAATTTCTCTTTTCTCTCCGTCTATGTTTTCCTGCTTCTACATTACAATGCTTTTGTCTTTGTTAATAGTATGTAATTTAAACCTCGGCTCTCACCCATACGCTCACACGCACAGACAGACACACACACACGCACGCACACACGCACGCTCATTCATATAAATGATGCTGATGTATGTTTATGGCACTGCTGCTGAAATGAAACTATGACCACATGCAGGTCAAGATCTGGTTTCAGAACAGGCGGATGAAATGGAGGAATAGCAAAGAAAGAGAGATAATGACGTCATCGTCAACAGCATCCGTCAACACCTCCATCTCCAATAACAGCACTGCCACTAAGACAAATAACAACAATAACAATGGCGGTCATAGCATTATAAACAGCAACAACCACAACAACAGGCCAGGTAGCTATATAACCAACAACCAAGTGAACAACATTAACAAAGTTGACAAAAGCGATGACGATAATTATAACAACAATAATAATAGCAACAACATAGATAATAACAACAACAATGATAACAACAATAATGAATATTCTACTGACAGCAAGATGAACGCTGTCCAATCCGATAAATTATTGCTGAATTTTAATGATTATTTCAACAAGACCGACCCATTAAAACAACAGCAGCAGCAGCAACAACAACAACAACATCAACAACAACAACAACAACTCCAACAACAACAGCAGCAGCAACAACAACATGAACATCATCATCAGCATGCAAATGATAAAGTTTGTCCAACTTTCAAAATAAATTCAGACGATTTTCTAAAGACTTCCCACAGATTTGAATCAAACAATTTTCTTTCATCTTTTGCTACATTGGCATCAACATCATCATCAACATCAACATCATCATCATCATCAACAACAACAACAACATCACCTACAAAATCCCATTGCAGCAACGACTACAGCAACAAAATGGATGCAGACAGCATAATGAGACGTGGCAAAATTGAAAATATTTTTTTCAACTGCAAAACCATTCACAACAACATCAACCACAACAACGACAACAACAACAACATCAACACAATCATGAACAATATCAATAGCAACATTTGTAACATTCATCCAATGAAATGCGAAAGATCTGTGACGTCATCAGTGGGCGATATAAAACTATCATCACGCCACAGCCCAAACGTCCAAATCGTCATTTCCTGTTTAACAGGCGAGGCTAAAGACGTTCGTAAAAGTTGCAATGATGGCGATGATGAGGATGATGATGGCGGTAAAGATGGAGATGATGTCAAGATGGGTGATGATGATGATGATGGTAGAAACTTTCAAAATAACAATAATGACACTATGAATGGCATTGCTTGTCACAATAATAAAAACAAGTCGAATGATAATAATATTAATGATGATGATGATGATGATGACGACGACGATGATGATAATAATGATGATGACGACGACGACGACGATTTAGAAATAGACTGTTAATTTATTAAATTAAAGTAGTCAGTCAAGATTTGATAAATCATCAATGATATTTTTATCCGTTCTTATTTATGTGGTTCTTCTTATATTTCTTATTATTCTTATATTTCTTATTATTTTTATATTTCTTATTATTCTTATATTTCTTATTATTCTTATATTTCTTATTATTCTTATATTTCTTATTATTATTATTATTCATTGTTATGCAGTCTGCTTTGCCAAAAAAGAAATGAACGCTCACACACATGCACATATATACCCACAGAAAAATGTGCACATTTGCTGGCACACACATACACACACACACACACACACACATATATATATATATATATATATATATATATATACACACACACACACACACACATACACACACGCATACTAACAGCTACGCACGTCAATGATAGAAAATAATTGAAAAAAGAAAAACTGAAAGACAAGAAGGATATATATATATATATATATATATATGTATATATATATATAGAGAGAGAGAGAGAGAGAGAAAGAATAAAAAATGTTTAATTGCTGCCTATTATAACAATTGCTTACCAATAAATTACATTCTGCGTAGAATCTCAATTTTATTTTGCATTCTTTTAATAAAATTTTTGAAATTAAAAATATTAGACTTCCGAGTGTGTGCTTGCGCATAAATAATTTATAAAAATTGTTTACTGTTGAAATTAAAAAAGGCCTAAAAGACGAACATTATTTTTATTTATATTAATTTAAATCTTCATCTGAATATAAATGAGCAGCCTAAATGGTCTGCTTGCTTGTCGTCGACAGCCTACTTTGAAGCGTTTATAAACCAAATCAGATGACGACCTTTTGTTAAACAGGCATGGAACTGGTGATGCAGTACCCTCGGTCCACCGTGAAGAAACCCCCGACCTCGACTATCACATGCAAAATGGTCTGATGGGCTACTTCACGTGTTTTTATTGGCTGTGTGCTTGTTTTAATAACCTCTGAGGAATATCTACGAGGGAATAAAATAATAACAATAATCAATCAATCAATCAATAATTTTTTGAACATCTTAAAAGTAATCTTGATCGGGTTGTCGTCAATTGTTAGGAAGACCACTCCATCTCTTTAGCCCATAAACTGAGAAATCCCGCAAAACAATCTTCTAATGAGATACTGAGACCATCAATAGATTTAAATCATTACTTTTTTAAATGTCTAGAAGATGACGGCTTCGTTAAACATTTATCAATTAATTGTTTCGGTGCCAAAACATTTACAACCTTCAAAATCAATGGCGACACTTTATACGTAATCCTTTTAACAACCAATCAAAGCGATTAAAATTGGTGAAACATGATCGAACAAAGAATCATCTGCCGTGGTTGATCTAGGCGGGTTAGTTAGAGTAATTAACAGTTAGTAAATTTTGAAAATTTTGAAAATTTCAACGTTTTCAAAAATTTTGCCCCCCTGATCACCCACAACAAACTTAGCCGCACGATTTTGAATTAGCTGAAGCATTTACACAAATGCGTGTGCCAACCGTTGAGCATCATCTTTATGAAGAAATTTTTTGATAGGTCTAATAAGTACGAAGCTGAAGCATAAAAGCACCTATTATATATTTTGCGTGGTCAAGCATAGTAAAGTGCGAATCAAAAATACAACTTAAATTTGGATTAAAACTTTATTTTGGCTATCAATGCAAACAGTCAAGTTATCCTTTTAAGATCGATAACAATTGTGTCATAGACTGGTTCAATTCCTATCTATTATATACCATCCGAACATTAATTTTTAACTAAGTTAACTAATTTATCAACATGATTGGGAGATATCTAGTGACTCGCCAACTGTATATATACATCTTTATATAAAATAAATAAATAAGTGTATGATTTCTGCAGTTACACAATATCATACAACTGAAACACACGTTATCGAATTAACTTTTAGCACCGTAGCTATGGTTGTCATGGTGATTGTAAATCCAACCTTTGAATGATTGATTCAAGCAGTTTCTCTTCTCTTCTTATCTATTTGTGATCGATCATCAAAGCCCTAAGCAAAAATAATGAAATCTGTATTTAGAATGAATTGTTTAATTATCGGTATGCTGAATATTATAAATCATTTTTTATATTATATATCGTCTGATATAAAACTAAAATTGTTATAGTGTAATATAGTTATAAAATTTATTTATATTTTATAATAATAATTTATAATTAATTTATATTTTTATAATATTAATTGATTGAATTAATTTAGTTTATTTAATAATTTTTATTTATTTTATAGTAAACAAATAAATACAGGTGATCCCATGGTGGGCAAATCTTCAATCTGTCAAGCCTTTCAAAATATTAATTCACAATTTTCTAAAAATTATACAATGGTAAGATAAATTAATAAATATAGATAAATTATATTATTGAATAAACTTTATTTTCTGAGCCAAACATCAAACAAAATTAATGTTTTAGTTTGTTTTATTGTGTTTTAAATGACAAACTGCTACTTACCAGACCTCTCACTAACGAATTAATATTTTTTCAAACAACTCAACAACTTTCTGTGGGGACAGTGTTTCAAAACCGAACACGCCCAAAAACCCTTTTTACAGTTAGTTGTTCGCCTCCAGAACTGCTAATTTTTATGCTACTGCCATCAAAGAACTTACTTTAAGTTGCTAGATGAAATAGCAATGGTCTAATATATATTTATGCCCTTAGACGATAAGCAAAGATCTGAAAAAGGAAAAATTGAAATCTCTATATTTATCATTTCATTTATTCAAACTATCAATATAAATGTTTTTCGCTCAACATTAAACACCAACCTCTTGATAATTTACACTTTTTCCATGAAACTAGACCAAAACTCTTTCAACATTTATGACAATCAATTTCACGAATTAATGTTTCATTGTTTTCAAGACAACTTCATTGGAGATCTCATCAAAATTACTCGGCTTGCCTGAACTACAGACCAGTGCCGTAGGTTTAACTTCCTTGTTTTATAAAAAAAATTCGCTTCACAGTTTCATATTTATGAAATAAATATTACTTTGAAGTTTAACAGTTAAGAAAATTGTTTCGATCTCATTCATTTTTATTTGAAGGAAGTGTTTTTGTTGGACACATCAGGAAGAGACATATTTTACGAACTGAACGGCAAGCAAGTAAATTACATTTTTAGAAACTTTAGATCATAAGTAATTTGCTCATCTTACATTTACGTTATAAAGCCTTACTTAATAAATTCAAGTTGATAATTGATGACTGTCAATATAAAAATGATCAACTCACAAACACCACTTTCAATTAAAATGAAAATGCCTGGAAAGCACTGAATAAAATAAATAAATAAATAAATAAACAGATTGAAAATGTTGACACGTTGTTGTATGTTTATGATGTAACAAACCAAAATTCATTCAATTCAATATCAAGATGGCTGGATCTAACAAGGAAGTTTGCAAACAACCCAAGTCAATATTATTAATTTTAAATTCTTTTTCTACTTAAATATATTTTATCGACAACTTTAATATGAAGTCTATTGGAAAAATTAAAAATTGTAAAGCAAAATCATTACACATTTGTAATCTCTTCAATCACGGACATGGTTCTTCAATGCTTTATACGTGCTGAGCTTATGAAATCAGCCAGGCTTTTGAAAAACGTCCATCAAACTGCACCCGCAATGTATTTGATGGGAGCAAAGTTATTAAACAATAGCAATTAATAAAACTGACAACACAACGACCACTGATCAGGAGTTCTGGCAGGAAACAAGATGGATCTGGATCAAAGGAAGTGCGTCAGTGAAGTGATGGCGGTCCAGATGGCAACCACCAACAACATGCACCACATTCCCTGCTCAGCAGTCAGTTCATTATTTATTCGCTCATTTATACGTTCGTTTATTTTATTAATTACGATCATACACGTCACTACTGCACAACAGAAAGATATGCAAAATATAGTGGAGATATTCAACCACCTGGCAACTGAGTACTTCAATAAGAACATCAACAACAGCAATCACAAATCACACCAGAACAAAAAAAACCAAAACTACAACAACCACACTGATGATGATGGTGATGACTATTAAGAAACTACAAGTTGTTTAATGACAGTTATTTATCATAAAAGACAATTTGTTTGGTAACTGTTAAAATACAAATCCGACAACCGAATCTTTTTTTATTCATACAATTTCAACATTTCTAACAAATTATATACATATATATATATAGATAAATTTAAGAAGCATTGAAAGATTTTTTGCCACTTTCGATGAGCTTAACAAACACAGGAATGGCAGGATGCGGAGGGCAGAACAATGATTTGTCATCAGTTGCCCCAGTAATCAATTGTGCCGTTGGTGACTTTTTTGATTTTGCTGCACTACCTGGTAGCATTTCATGTTCTCCCTGGTTTTGTTGGTTTTCTTTCTTCAAGTGCTCCTTGATGTTTATGGTGATTATCCTCTTTTGCAGTGGTGTCGACGCTTTCTGCAGTGTAATGAACTGTTTTGCAACAATCTTGTTCTCATCAACCGTACTACTAAATTCGTTTCCCTCATGATTTATAAGATGAACATCATTGGCACTACTGCTCCCAATAAAATAAGGTTTTATACTGATGGAGCATCTTTTATCCAACACATTTTCATCTGAGATGGAAACACTGGTGGCACTGCTGTTGCTGTTGTGGGGCTCTGTATGTTGTTGGTGATGTCGTTGTTTGGTCTCACCTGGCTCCGCTTCAACAACAGAATCAGTTGCAGGTATACGAAGAGAAATCTCTGATAATGTCATGCACTTCTTTGCTTTCTGCGTTTCAACGTTGTTACTCTTACTCTTCTCAATATCTTCCATCGTGATATCCTCCTCTTCAATCTCTTCCACATCTTCCTCGTTCTCCAGCTCTTCCTGTCTCGTCTGCTCTTTAATGGATTGAACATCTTTGACGCAGTTGATGGCTATCGAGTCTCTGAGCACTTTCACTTTTAAAATATCATCTGGGTCATAGCGCTTTATTTTCTTCATTTTGTCTGGTGGGTAGACGACGGCATGCCTATTCATGCAGTGCTTCTTAAGATTGTGACTGACATAGGTGGCGTATGAACAATAAGGACATCTAAAATCTTTCTGTCCAGTGTGCACTAGCATGTGCACGTGGAGTTTGTGCTTGTTTCGTAGCTTCTTCCCACACACCTCACACGGAACTGTAGGCTGTTCATGGGAACGTTTGTGTGCTGCGAGCTGCGAAGCATCTGGATGATTAAAGGAGGAACATGCTTAATATAAAATGCATATCTAGCAATGAAATAAATGTAGTAATCTTACTTGCAAAGGGTTTGTTGCAGATATCACACTGTTTCCTATAATGACCGACATGTCTTCTGATATGATCCAAGTATGTACCTGCCACGTCGATTTATAAAAGAACAACAAAATGAAATACAACAGGAAATTTAATTACAAAATATTGAAATGAACTGACCTTTTGATCTCAATTCTTGTCCACAAAGTTCACATTCGTAGATGGTGAGTTCGTGTGAGTGAACGTTGCTGTGGTGTCTGTCCAAACTGACCTGATCGTATGTTTTGAAGGGACACAGAGGACATTCCACATCCTTCTCTGCGTGCGCTGCTCGGTGATTTTTGTTGTTGTTTAGTGAGCATGTCTTGTTCAATGTGCTTAAATGTTTGTATTTGCTATTCAAAAACATTCAACAACAGAACAAAGTAGCAACCAAAATTCAAACTTACTAAGTAGATGCCTTTTGAGTTGATTGCATACAATGAAACCCTTGCCGCAGACATCACAGATGTGGTTGCGTGGCTTGTTAGGGTTGTGCCTGTTCTTAATGTGCTCCTCCAACAACTTCTTCGACTTCACTGCATACAAACACTTCTTACATTTGTATATATCTCGAGAGACTGAATCATCTTCGTGATAGAGCATGTGAAGTTCTGCATTTGTGAATGTTTGAGTGTGTACAAAATTGACAATGGCAGGGTTGTGATTGTGAAGGTTTTGATAGTGATGAATGTCAGAAAGTTTCAACATTTCACAAGTATACTACAGAATGAAATTACGTCAGAAGAAACTAACTGAATCCTGTACTGGACATGAACTTGCTGCCACACAGGTCGCACACATAAGCATTGCCTGCAAAGATGTTAATAAATCAATTAAAAAATCAACCAGCCGATACAGAATGCATTCAATCAATCAAGCAAACAGTCAATCAATCAACAACCAACCAACCAATCACCTGTATGCTTCCTTGTGTGCTGCTTCAAAGAGTAAGCAGATGATAACTTCTTGTGGCATGTTTTGCATTGGAAAATTGTGTTCTTGCCTGCAATGTTAATAATGACGACATGAAAATATCTGACGATGATGATGAGAAGGATGATTGCGCAAAATAATGTGTTAGGGCTGAGGTGGAACAAATGGAAACAAATAGAAGATGATGTTAATGATATGAGTAAAGTCAGTCTCACCTCCATGACCATCATACATCACCAGGACATCATCTTCTGTTTTTCAAAATTTAATAAAAAATTGAAATGTATTTATAAGGTGGTTTAAATATAAGCATAAAAAACATGGAATAGATAAAAAATTCCTTCTAGTATTTATATATTCACACCTATTCATAATTTATCGATCCATTTATTCATCAAATCTTCCATTCGTTCATAAATTGATTAATTTATTTATTCATCTAATATTTTATTCATTTATTTGCTCACTCACTCATCCACTCCCTCCCTCCTCCATTCTGATTCTAACCATCATATTGGATTGGCCTCCCAGTCGATTTCTTCTTTCTCTTCCTTTTAACGCTATCATCATCATAATCACTGCCATCATCAACATCATCATTGCCTGTGTAATCTTCATCTCCATCATCATCATCATCATCATTCCCGTTGGTTCTCTTTGATTGTTTTGTCTCCCCTGCCACTAAGTTCCAGTGGTAAGAACAACTCAATCAATACAATTTTTATTGAATGAATATTCATTTTCTATTATATAAAGTATGTATGACCATGGTTAATAATATTTTTAATAGTAGAAGTAGTAGCAGTCGTAGTAGTAACAGTAGTAGATGCAGTGTTGCCATGTTGCTGTTCTTAGGTATACAAATAAATAACGTATAAAAAATGAGCTCACCTTGTTTGATTTTTGGTCGACCGCGGCCCTTTTTCACATATGATGGATGTCGTGCTTTTGATGATGCATGGGACAACATCATTTCTTCAACCTCATCATTTGTGATGTTTTCAACTTTAATGATCATGTCATCCACGATGTCCTCGCTGTCGATCATAGCTGACTCTCCGTTAATGTTCTGGCTGCTGTTAATCTCTTTCTTGCTTTTATTTTTCCTCTCCTCTTTTATCATTAAGTCAAAAAAAAATGTTGTGAAATTTTTAAATATTTGGTACACAAATAATTAGAAGCACAAACATTGAAACTTTGAAATCATGAGCAAGAGGAAGAAAAATGAGGTGGAACAAACTTGCTGCAAATCGTTTAAAAAGAACATTAGAATCATCCTGGTGACTTTCATCGAGGAAAGAATCATCTCCATCCCCGCCATCTTGTATTTCACCATCTTCCACATCGTTCATTGTTAAAAAACCATCCAAAGTTGAATTTCTCTTTCTTTGTCTCTTTGATATTCTCCTAGAGGCAGCATTTTGAATGATCTTCTCGATGTCTTCAGTCTCACTAACCACCTCAAGATGAATTGCCTCCTCTGCTGTCGATATGTTATCAACCAACACACTCTTCAGCTTTTTACTTCTCTTGGCTTCAAATATATTTTATGATATCTATTAATAATAACAATGTGGCATGTTACAAATTGTTGTTATATTACACAGATATTAACAACAATTGAAGACACAAATTTTAAAATTAAATATTTACAAAAATAACTAATTAAGAATAAAGATATTCCGGCTATTTAAACCTCTTGTCTCTTCAATGAGTTCATTTTCATCACTATAGATAAAAAAAATTTATTTTATAAATAAATAATTTATATTAATATAATTCAAATAAGACGTATGTGTATTCAATATTTATAATATGATCAAGTTTTTTTTGCCTAATAGCTTATAACCTATAAATAAAATGTGTTTTAAATTGCCAGCTGAGTGATGTTGATCAAACTGATTGGTTGTGTAAGAAATAGGAAAAATTAATGAAAGAAGCGGCGAGTTGAGTTAAGGAATTAAAAATTAATAAAAAAAATTGCTCTATGACAAGAGTTTGTCATTCATTTCTTTGGTTAACTTTCAGTTACAGTTGTATATGATAAAAGAAAAGTGGAACCATAACTTGCATTTAGATTTTCAGATACATGCAGCATACACATACAGAGACAGATACACACACAACTGAGTTTATTTTATAAAATAAAATATAAATAAAGAATTTATAAAACAGCAGGTCTCTCTTTTTTAAACATGAAAGAAGTGTAGGTAAAAGATGATTTTAAATTTAGACAGTAAAATTAGATCAGTTAGGAGTTAAGTAGATCGTAGATGACCTTTTCTCTGCGACATCGCAAACTTCTTTCTTCAGAATCTTCAGTGCTTTCAACTTCAAATGATTCGGCAATTTTCGTAAAACTTCGGACAAACCTTTACCCTGACATGAGAAACAAAATGAATGTTTAGTTATGGAAAGCAGATCGGTCATTTTATTTCTCCATTTCCATTTGGAGTTCCATCGTTCGAAGAAACAAGCCATTAAAACAAATTTCACTAACTTCTGAATTCATTTTTGCGGCAGCACTCGTCGAGTAATGCTTCTTTCAAGATAATTTATTTTTCTTGTAAAATTTATTTCAGTTATTTTAGGTTTAGCCTACTAAATAAACGGCATTTACGACGGGATGTGCAAAGTCAATTTAATTTTACTTAGTAGAATGCATAGAATAATAACAGAATTAATGGTTCAACAAATAAATAAACTAAAAGCTAAAAGCCTTCTGAACAAAGTTATGTTAACAAATTGTAGGCTTGAATTATTATTCTATATGAAAATATCAAATGGAAAAAGTGAATTTAATAAAAATTTCATTCATATATTTGTCATTGTTGACTAATCGATCAATTTGATCAATCAGTCGGGCTATTTGACATGCTTGGATTGTTGGCCTACGAAATTGCATGGATTTTAACGAGTAAGCTATATGAAATATTAACTTGACTTAATATGCTTAAAACATTGTAGTAATTCTATCTAATTTTATTTAATAGAATTATGTATTATTAAATTATTTTTGTTAATTTGAATATAAAAATTACTTTTGGTCCGATGAAATCCGGTGGCTTACTGAAGTTGAAGGTTGGCTTACTAGGATTGAACTATAGTCACCCTTTTTTACGCTATTCGATCATGTTAAAAAAATTTTGCTTACAAAATAAACGGCCTAAATAAATCAAAATTGTTATTTGAACAACTATCTTCATTATATTCAATGAATATTTTACATTCTGCTTGTGCTCATAGAAACTGGTTGCTGAAATCATACGTTGGCTTACTGCAGTGGCTTACAGTGTTTTATAGAACTGTTATGATAGCGGTTTTTTGTAGATATAATGCTTTAAATAAATCAATATATTCATATCACAATTATTTTTAACAATATAAATATAGAAATTGCTTTTGTCTGGTGAAAAACAGTGGCTTACTGAAGCCGAAGGTTGGCTTAATTGGATTTTTTTTTTATGTATACAATACTATGAGATCAATCAATCAATCAATCAATCAATCAATCAATCAATCAATCAATCAATCAATCAATCAATCAATCAATCAATCAATCAATCAATCAATCAATCAATCAATCAATCAATCAATCAATCAATCAATCAATCAATCAATCAATCAATCAATCAATCAATCAATCAATCAATCAACCAGTCAATCAATCAACCAACCAATCAATCAATTAATCAACCAAAAATCCAATCAATCAATCAATCAACCAATCAATCAATCAACCAAAAATCTAACCAATCAATCAATCAATCAATCAACCAACCATTCATTCAATAAACTAATCCAACCAATCGACCAATCAATGAACCAAATTGAATGAACCAAATAAACGAAAAAAAAAACAAAAATATATAAACAAAATATTTGCAAGGCTTATTCAAACTCGAATAAACACTTAACCATACAGTATTTTTAAATAAAAAAGAGAGTAAAATGTAAAAAAAAAACTTACCGTCGTCCATTCGACAAAGGCAGAATGTTGAATGCGGTCCGGCTCCTACGTTGTCCTCCAAAGCTGGTGCAAGTCCCCCGAGTTTGTTGTTGAAACACATCCCGTGTTGATGGAGAAAGGAGAAGATTCTCATCAGAAAGCTTAGCGGTGCCTGCATCTCAAATTGCTTAATAAAAATAATCCTATCTACCTATTAATTTAACTTATCTATATTAAATTGTTAATGGTACGATAGTCGAAATTCCCCCTTCATTCTCCCTCCTTGCACAGAGGCTCACCGACAGCCAGGGCACCGGATAGTAAACCATTGCCGTCCGGATAGTAAACCATTGCCGGTTGACCACTAGCCACCAAGGCTTACCTCTGACAACAGACTTCGAAATTCAGAGTCATCGGCTATCGTACCCTCAACTTACCTATTTATTACAATTAAGCCCTAGCTTACCTAAAATTACAAAACTCAAGAGCCCAATTCATTGGCCAATCGTATGTATGTATGTTTTTAACTTACGTGTGTATGTATATAATAATTTAAGACGTAAGTCTTAGGTTCTATAATAATTAAAGGCGTAAGTCTTAAATAATTATAGAACTAAGTCATGTGCAATTGTTTTATTTATTTATTTCAAAAATTTCCTTTAATTATTTAAACAAAAAAAGACAAAGAAACAACAAAGAAAACAATTTTTTAGCACTTTTAACAATTTGTTCGCATTATCAGTGATATTTTAAACAGTATATTTATCATTATTATTAAAAATATTATTTAATTAATGATAAAGAAAATAGAAATTACATGAAAAGTTTACATCACAACTACCTATGAAATTAAACTACTCTCAACCTTAATAATAATAAATTAAAATGTGTGCAATGAGAATAAAATTACGCTCAGAAACTAATACATGTGTTTATGTATGTATTTGTGTGTGTGTAATAAGATGATGCGTGTAATGTGGGTGCAAGAAAAAATAGAAGCGATAAACTTACGTCTTAAATTATTATAGAACTTTCTAAACAAAAGAATTAAAAAAGTGAACGGCATTTAGTGAGAAGCCCCCTCGCCACGTCAAGGCAGCCGTTCAT